AGGTTGGAGGCCATCGCTCTTAGGATGGAGGCCATCGCTCTTAGGATGGAGGCCATCGCTCTTAGGTTGGAGGCCATCGCTACTATAGGTTGGAGGCCATCGCTACTAGGTTGGAGGCCATCGCTACTAGGTTGTAGGCCACCGCTACTGGGTTGGAGGCCATCGCTCTTAGGTTGGAGGCCATCGCCCTTAGGTTGGAGGGCATCGCTACTAGGTTGGAGGCCATCGCTCTTAGGTTGGAGGCCATCGCTACTAGGTTGGAGGCCATCGCTCTTAGGTTGGAGAGCCATCGCTTCTAGGATGGAGGCCATCGCTAGTAGGTTGGAGGGCATCGCTACTAGGTTGGAGGCCATCGCTCTTAGGTTGGAGGCCATCGCTACTAGGTTGGAGGCCATCGCTCTTAGGTTGGAGAGCCACCGCTTCTAGGTTGGAGGCCATCGCTCTTAGGTTGGAGGGCATCGCTACTAGGTTGGAGGCCATCGCTCTTATAGGTTGGAGGCCATCGCTACTAGGTTGGAGGCCATCGCTCTTAGGTTGGAGAGCCATCGCTTCTAGGTTGGAGGCCATCGCTCTTAGGTTGGAGGGCGTCGCTACTAGGTTGGAGGCCATCGCCCTTAGGTTGGAGGGCATCGCTACTAGGTTGGAGGCCATCGCTCTTAGGTTGGAGGGCATCGAGGTTGGAGGCCATCGCTCTTAGGTTGGAGGCCATCGCTTCTAGGTTGGAGGCCATCGCTCTTAGGTTGGAGGCCATCGCTCATTAGGTTTGGAGGCCATCGCTCTTTAGGTTGGAGGCCATCGCTCATTAGGTTGGAGGCCATCGCTAGTAGGTTGGAGGCCATCGCTCATTAGGTTGGAGGCCATCGCTAGTAGGTTGGAGGCCATCGCTCATTAGGTTGGAGGCCATCGCTAGTGTTGGAGGCCATCGCTCATTAGGTTGGAGGCCATCGCTAGTAGGTTGGAGGCCATCGCTCTTTAGGTTGGAGGCCATCGCTACTAGGTTGGAGGCCATCGCTCATTAGGTTGGAGGCCATCGCTCTTAGGTCGGAGGCCATCGCTCTTAGGTTGAAAGCCATCGCTCTTAGGATGGAGGCCATCGCTAGTAGGTTGGAGGCCATCGCTCATTAGGTTGGAGGGCATCGCTACTAGGTTGGAGGCCATCGCTCTTAGGTTGGAGGCCATCGCTTCTAGGTTGGAGGCCATCGCTCTTAGGTTGGAGGCCATCGCTCTTGGGTTGGAGGCCATCGCTACCAGGTTGGAGGCCATCGCTCTTAGGTTGGAGGCCATCGCTCTTAGGTTGGAGGCCATCGCTTCTAGGTTGGAGGCCATCGCTTTTAGGTTGGAGGCCATCGCTCTTAGGTTGGAGGCCATCGCTTCTAGGTTGGTTGTAGAACTTCAGAAGTTCTTTTGGGTTCGGATTCCAGGCACCGGAAAGGGCGACAACACGCCTGTCTTGGAGCAGCTGCTGCGGATGCGCCGGCGCTTCGCCAACGTGGTAGGCTATAGATCCCACGGCGATGTGGTCTTTACAAAGAGCATGGCCACCCCCAAACAGGCACACACATAGAAATACGTGCATAACAAACAGTATCGTGTTGTTGTTTTTAGGCTGGATGTTCTTTTAGGATCTTTTGGATGAGGTTGTTACAGAGACCGCTTTCAAATCTCCAAGGGGATTTGCCCAGCCAGGTTTGACCTTGTTTTTGCCCACAACTACTAGGATGCAGGACTTCTTTGTTTGGTAGAAAATTGCACTCTTTTTAAAAACCTATTGCTTTCTTGATGTTTGTTTTTCCTTATTGTCGTTTTGCTTGCGGAACTTGATGAGACATCTGGTCATCCCTGGCTCCAGGCCTATGGTCTCTTGTCGAAGCTGCGGCAGGAGGCCTTGCCGGTGGCACGCTATGAGGTGGAGCAGTTAAGGACGCCTCGGTCGATAGAAGCACTGAAGGTGATTCGTTTGTTTTCCTGAAATGGTGGTGTTGTCGTCCACAGCATTTGAGTTTGGGATGTTTTGGGAAACTGACTTGTCACCTCTTTTACTGGTTGATGGTCTGAGGGCCACAGCAACAGACTTGAGTAGCCTTGGCTTTGTTCCAGGAGCTTTGCCAAAGAGCAAGGAGCCAAGTACGAACTGGACCATTTTGACTTGGAATACTGGCGAGAGAGAATGCTGGAAGATCGCTTTGGCCTCAAAGAGGAGTACATCCGTCAGTTTTTCCCGTTGGATGCAGTGCTGCAAGGGCTCTTCAATCTGCTGGAACGGCTTTTCAATGTGAAGGTGCGGCTTATCAAAAGTCATTGTGGTTCGCAGAGTTCACACTTAGTAGAGTAGCTGTCAATATTGCAAACATCAGTGCATTTTTGTGAAGAGAAACCGTGTGAAACACCCCGGTTGCTTCTGTTTCACCCTCCAACCTGAGGTGATCCAAGAGGAGACGAAGCTCGCTTGGTCCTCCGGGGTCACGTTTTATCGTTTGAAGGATCTCTCCAACAAAACCTCCTTCGTCTCCTCCGTCTTCTTCGACCCCTTCCGGCGCAGTGGGAAGCGCCGCGGCTTCTGGTCCTCGAAGATCCAAGGCTATTCGGAGCTGCTGGGAGATCGCAACGGTCCGCGCCGGCCGGCGGTCAACGTGGTGGCAGATCTGGAGAGACCTCAGGAGGGGCAGAGCCAACCGCTCCTGACGCACCGAGAGGCCAGGCGTAGGAACCAGGTCGCTTCGAGGTTGGAGGCCATCGCTCTTAGTTTCCCTAAAAGGTCTAGGAACCAAATCATTAGTGCGAGCGTAAGCTATACTGCATCCAATTACTAGAAGCTTGAGTAGCTAGGAGCGTATAGATTTCCTTACTTAATCAAGTAGGCGTCTACTTAATTCAGGAGGCAGGGCCATGGGCTAAACAAGTTTCTGGTTTCTTTCCGACGGTTGGAGGGAGGAACACGATGAAGACGAAAAACTTCTTGAAACCCAGGGACCTCTCACGTTCAGGGGCAAACCGTTTTTTCTTTTGCTACGCATTGCACTCCTTTTGAAGTGGCGTCAGGTCTTTTTCATTCAAGCCTTGAGTCAGTCACTTCAGACACCTCAGTCACACTATCGCTTTTGCTGAGGTGGTCCAAGTCTTTCGTGTCTTCGGCTCGGCCCTACGGGAGCTCTTCTGCGAGCAGTCCGAGGGTTTGATGTCGGGCGCCAATGGCCTCGAGGCCCGGGGCGCCGTCGGTCCCGGCGTCGGGGCGCCACGGCGTCCGGCGTTGGCCTTTGCAGTTCTGGTTCGAAACGTGGAGAGAGGAGCATGTCTGGTTCGCTCCGTTCGACCGCGCAGGTGGATGTTCTGGAGCTGCCCAGTCACTTCTTGGCGCGTTGGGCCTACGACGAAGAGACGCTCCGGCGCTGCTCTCGGCACCATGCCACTGGCGAGCCGCTGCCGGCGGCGGCGCTGGCGGTGCTGGCGCAAACGCGGAAGCTCTACGTGGCGCACCGATTGTTGAAGCGATGCGCGCTGGCGCATGTGGACTTGGAAATGCATTCAGAGACTTGGACGCTACTAGAAGCAAAGGGCATCGCTACTAGGAACAAGGGCCTTACTACTAGGAACAATGTTTGCTAGTAGAAACAAGAAGCTTCT